ACCAAAAAAAAAAAAAAAAAAAAGAGCCCACATGTCTTAGGACACAGTGAGTTCTTTGAAACCAAATGGAAGCAGAATTACTGCCCAATCTTCTAAGTGTGTCATGGATTGATGAGTCAACATTTGAAAAGTACTTATAAGTTCTCAGATGAAAGACCACAGATCTGWATAAAGTATTATCATTATAAAAATAACTCAATTTTCCTGTGGTGGTTTTTTAAAGAAATGTTCTTTTGGTTGCTGTTTGAGACCAATTTTTTTCTTCAAAAAAAATAATAAAACTCCTCCAAAGCTGGATGTCCCTATAGATGAATATTAAATCATTAGCATTTGTCTTGGATTCAGACAGGGGAGTAGGTGCTGAGGAATGCCTTTGAGAATGCTCAAGGCGCTGCCTGGAATGTACCAGTCAAGGAGTGTTAGTGCACTTTCAAATTCTGTTACCATCAGATTTAATGACTTAACTTTCCCGTCACATTTTTTGTTTTTCATTTCGGCTTAATATTAAAGGAAATCCATTATTTTTCCAGGATTACAAAGTAAAACACAATTCTCTCTCATCTATTGTGCATGCTCCCAGTCCTTCCTCCTGTTTTTGAAGAGACGCTGTGCTCCAGTYCAGGGGCACTGAAGGAGGAGCAGACTCCATCAACTCCTAACAGTTGAGTGACCCTCCTTCAAGGACAAACATATAATCTCCTCCTCACTTCCCTGTGTGCAATGACTTTAATGAGACTAAATTACGTTGGAAATATGTCATTTAATATCTGAAACTTTTTCATAGCATTCTGATGAAACAGAATAAGATATTATTATTTCAAAGAAGTTGCTTGAAAAAATATATGAAGCATTGTCTAATTCTTTAATAAATTAATTCATTAAAAATGTAGGTATAATTAATAGACCAAGGGAAACTAAAGTTTATTATCTAAGGCCCACGAACACAGCTCAGATTCTTCAGACTAACGAACTACATCCTGGGAGCACATCAGATATGAAGAGAGAAGTAATGCGAAGGCAGCACTTGTTCCTCCTTTCCACTTGTTCCTTCTGTGTGTGTGTGTGTGTGTGCATGTGTATATGTGTATCTAGATGTAGGAAATCATGCAATGTCCTTCTAGAATCTCATTCTGTCTGAAACCAAGTCCAGTGTATATGTGTATGTGTACATGTGTATGCATGTGTATGTATGTGTGTGTATGTGTGTATGTGTGKGGGGGGGACTGAACCCAGGGCTGCTCTACCACTGGGATATACCTCAGGCCTTTTTTATTTTTATTTTGAGGTAGGGTSGTGGTCAGTTGCCCCGGCTGGCCCTGAAGGAGCTGTCCTCCTGCCTCAGCCTCCCCAGTGGCTGGGTGGTAGGTGTGCCAGAGACAGCGCATGGCTCTACTTGTTCTGTCTTTCTACCTGGGCTTGGACAAAGTTCCCCGCTCTCTCTYAAGGGTTTCCTCCTGACAGTCCCTACAGTTATGATTTGTTAAGCAACCTATGCTCTGGCTCCAAAGAGTCAGGTGCTTCCCAAAGTGATGAAATAAAGAAGATACCACGTGAGTTAATTTCAAAGAACTCTTGAATCAAGACTTTAAATTCTATTCTTGKTCCAAAGGTATAATAGTGTTTTTCATGTCCTTTCAAATAAGAGAAAGAAAAATGGAGGTTTGGAGGACGCATTCAAGGGCTTTAACAGGGATGCTTCTCTTTGGCTGCCCAGCCAAAGCATTTTGGACAGATAATTGGACTAGGAAGAGTGTCCCTGAAAACCCGGCAGTGAGCCTTCCCACCCAGTGATTAGGTGGTTCATTTCCATTTCTCCTGGATCCTACCCCACCCTCCTGTGGCTCCATGCTCTGCTCTCCTCCTTGACCTACTTGAGTCATGACTCAGCGCCCTCGGGTCTGTCCCCTCTCCTGCCCCTCCTGGCCCCTGGGCTTCTCTCTGACAAATCCTCTGGCCTCCCTCCTGGACTTGGCTTCGAAGACCTTAACCACCTCACAGGGCACAGCTCTCAGGCCTCCCCCCAGSGTCCCAACTGCTGGTGATTTCCATTTCCCTTAAAGTCCTAAGTCACCAAGGATTAGAACCACACAATCAGACTCAATTGCTGTTCCTTAATCTTTCACATCTTTTCTTTCCAATGAGGAGGCAGCTACTCTGAGGACAGGGAATAGCTCTTAGAAACCTCAGCGTTTGTATAAACTGGACAAACAGCCAATGGATGGACTGGGATGAGGCCTGTATCTCATGACAGAGAGTTAGAGCCTCACTTGGGGATAACAGAATTCAAGATTAAATGAATTTCAGATTTCAGCTCCTTAACCAAGAAGATAGGGAGACACACGGGTTAAGAATGGATCTCAGAACTTCTCACTAACGGAACAAGAACTTCTGCCTTAAAGCAGCATTTCTGTTGCTTCATCAGCTGATAATCCAATATTATGTGAAAGTTTGACTTGAAAATCTCTCCTAGGGATTTGGAGTAAATGAAACATGTGCCCTGAGTTTGACCATTTCTGCTATGAATTTTCGGAGTTGCCACGTAAGTCAATCTTACTTGGCTTTAGTTTCCACCTCCATAAATGAGGCGGTTAGACAGACGACCTTTAAAAACCAACCAAACAAAACAAAAACAAGACTGAAGAGTCATCTGTACCCTCTGTTAGATCTTCACCAGGGCGTGATTGTTCACCCTGCCCTCCATCCATTTTGAACACAGCCCACTTGGAGGGTCACATATTTATGTATTCAAATAAATGCCATCCCAAAATAAGAAAAGAAACATGACACGGAATCCCAGCCACTGACTTCCTACAGGCACTTTATTAGACTGTAAAACGCTAGTCGGAAAGATCTTCAACCTGTTTTTCTTTTTCTTATTACTTTATGAGTGGACAGGATAGGGAAAACCTAACTGAACTTCAGTACCAGAAAACATGACACAGGCAAAATACTTTCAAGTCTGGAATGATCAGGTTGATAGGGATTGACCTAAAAGTTCTAGTGTGGGGAACACCAATCACCTCTCCAACATTAGTAAAACAGCACATGCCAGAGCCAYTTTCTTAAATCAGGCAATCTCTGTGGCAAAGGAAAGGGGATCAAAATATCAAGGCCCACATGCCACTGGCTTGAGGTATGTGTCAGATTTATGGTGGCCAAGAAGATGAAAACCAGCCACTATTAAGGAGGGTATGTGTGTGCAGCATTCAGACGTCAGAAAGTCTGAAATTATGTGATCAACCCAGAGAGGTTCCTGGGTAGATGATAAATAAAGCATACGTTTAGGACAGAAAGGCTGAAAGCAGCCTGGCGGGGAGAGAAACAAGCCCTTGAGCAGCGGCAGCACCTGCCCCTGCGGGAAGAGCGCCAAGCTAAAGATAGCGGATGAATCAAGGTCATATGGAGAGGCTAGATGACAGTGAGCAGAGAGGTCACTGACACAGGCTCAGAAATAGGGGGCTGGGGTGGGGCCCCGGGATGCAGCCCAGGGCACAGACCTTTCAGAGAAAGGAACTGGGAGTGACGCCCGTGTGACGAAGACCTGGGGAAACGGCTGAGAGGATGGAGAGAGGGACAAGCAGCGAGAGACACTGGAAACTGGCACTACTTCTGAGCGGACAGGAGGACTCTGGCCTAGGCCCATCGAGGCGGAGAGGCAGGTGACAGCTAACCACAACTCCAAGGCCAGTGAGCCACCGCAGATTTCATTAGGGCAGTGAACCTCTAAGGCCAAAGGTGGGTGTGTGAAAACCCAATGACGGAGACTTCTTAGTTTTCCTGGCTCTTCTTGGTACCACTTACATCCCACTTTCTCTCCCATTTGGCGGACCCCCTTCCAACTTATACAATCGCCATCCACCAAGTYACAGCTCTAGCCACCACCAGTGGTGCCCCTTGCTTTGGGGGGGGGGGCAGGGCTCTGCTCAACTGTGCCATCATCAAGCTTGGTTTACTGGCATGTGTAAATGGCCCCACATCTGTGGCCACCACTAAGTTCAAATCCCAGCTCTTCCTCACCAGTTCTGGTACCTTGAGGGCACTATTGTAACATCTCTGAATTTTTTCACCTAAAGTGATAAAACATTTAAATACCTATCATGCAGGAGTGCTGAAAGAATCGTATGGGGTTTAATACATATAAAGCTCTCACATACAGGGCATGTGATTGTAGTCTAGAACTGGAAGTGGTTATCATTCATTCTCAGTTGTCTTCTTTAAAACATACATACATACATACATACATACATACATACATATCCTGTTTGGACTACTGCCTCCTCTCCTCTTCTTTGCTCTACAAACTGGAGGTCAGACCATGCATAGTAGGCAAGCGCCTTACCACTGAGCTGCATTCTCAGCCCATTCCTCTCCCTTTGAAAAACCTTCAAATCTTTTTCCCTACCCAAGTACCAAAGGCCTCATCATGCTCCATCTTGCCCGTTAGGAGAGAAATCAAGTTGATAATGCCACTGAAACAAAAGGGTCACACTTCATATTCCAAACTCTAAACAGCAATGTGGATGACAGGATTGGGAAATGATTACATAAAGGAATAATTTGGGGAGTGAGAACCCCCAGTAGGTAGGTCGTCCTTAYAGCACATTTTCAAGCTAAGTATCATTCCTTCTCCTTCTGAGTAAGACGAGCCTCATCTGGCTTTGCTGCTACAGCTCTACAWGCTTCTTTTTATGCTAATTCAATCTAACTTGAAGGCAACTGGTGTAACCAAGAAAACACGACCCACCTCTTTCTTCATGGCTCTGCCACCCCACGGCATACGAGTGCCAAGAGACACTAGTCAACTTTTCCAACTAGCATTTTGCCCAGACAATGGGCTGAGTGGAAATTGAATGAAACAGATAAGGTCTGATGACTCATGTTTCAAAATAAATTTCTAGTTAAATACAGCCTCAAAGGCTAATCACTAGATGCAGAGCACCCCAGTTAGAAACAGGACACTCACTACAATCAACAATGCCCTGCAGGATCGAAAACACAGGATCCTGGGCACACAAACAGAACACAAAAGCTATTGCCACAGCAACATGGACAAATTTAAAAAACATATAGCAAATGTTTTGAGAGCGAAAACAAGCTGCAGGTTACAAACAAATGACTCTGTTCACACTACGTTTTAAAAATGTGCCAAGCAGAGCTGGGTGCAGTGGTGCACACCTATAATCCCAGCGGCTCAGGGGRCTGAGGCAGGAGGATCACAAGTTCAAAGTCAGCCTCTCTCAGCAACTTAGGGAGGCCCTGAGCAATGTTTCGAGACCCTGTCTCAAAATAAAAGGGGCTGGGGATGTGGCTCTAACCCTGGTGCCAAAAAAAAAAAAAAAAAAGTGCTAGCAACATTGAACACAAATTAAGAATCTATGTATATGAAGTAAAAAATAATAAAGACAAAACATGAGAACACAAAGATAACAGTGGTTTCTGGGGAAGAGCAGGGCGGGACTGAAACAGGGATGGTAAGAGGGAGCTCCTATCACGTGGACCTGTGTCGTCACAAGGCCCAGTGTGCCCTACTCTTGGTTGATGTCTCTGCTGATGCTGTCAGTGTCATCTCTGAACTCAGGTCAGTAAGTAGCGCAGGAGAGCAATGGGGCATGCGTGAGGGAAGGCGTCATGGTCACTCCTCGAGTCTGCCATCACTCCTCGCCACCCCAGCCACATACAGCAGTTGAAACGCCTCTGAACCAAGAACTCGGGTGCCTCTGGCAGGGCCTCTGGGAAGGCTCTGCTATCCCTTCACACCAGCTCTTTTTTTTTCAAATGCACAAGGAAGGCAAAAATATTCTAAGAAATACTAACAACTAATAAAACTCATCATGGAATTGCTTATTCCTGTTAATTCCCATAAGCTAACCACTATGCCAAAAAATGACAGCATAAAGAAAAAAGAAAGATAAGGCAACCCAGAGTTGTTCTCCTTTGTAATGTTTCTTTACTCATTAGTAAGTCAAATATAGGAAGCATTGGGAGAAAGTTCCTGTCCCAAGAAGTGAAACAGAAGTCGGGTGTGGTGGCCCAGTGTGGTGGCCCGGATGCCAGTGACTCAGGAGGCTGCAGGCAGGAGGATTGCACATTTGAAGCCAGCCTAGGCAGCTTAGATGCGGTCTYACAATACAAATAAAGGGTGGCGGGTGCAACTCAGTGGCAGGGCACTGGTTCAGCATGCCCATGGCCCTGGGTTCAAGCCCTAATTCCGAAAAAAAATTGAAATAAAAACAGTTTAATTAGTTTTGTGCAGCCTTTCCATGGTTCTGGGGGAAAACAAAACCAAAAAGTCATATGAGTACAAGGGATTGAACATGGATTGTGTCTCCCGGGAGTCCACTGTCATTAAAGGCCTGGTCCCAGAGAGGCACTGGGACTTYTGGGTGGTGGAAACTAGAGGGAGGCCCTTAGGTCACTGGGCTTCCTCAAAAGATAGCTCTCTGGACTTCCTTGATCACTCTCGGGAGAGGGCTACCACAAAAGGAACAAGCCTAGCCTACCCTGTGTGTCTCTCTCTCTCTGCTCCAGAGACCCCTCACTCTGCCACACCCTCCCATCACGGCCAGGCACCACAAATGAACTGATCCAGGCACCATATTCCTGAACCTCCCAAACTGGGAGCTAAATAAACCTTTTCTCTTTAAAAGTTAGCTGCCTGGCCTTTTCCAGTGGTAACACAAAACTGCCTGATTTTTGAAGAACTGTGTCATTTCAATGACTCTGTACATGAGTAAAATATCCTTATATTGATATATAAAATTGGCTTTGCACAACAAAGAGATGAATGGTAAAAATTCATTTTCATAATTTCATTTTTTCTTTTCTTAGGACAGTATAAAATAGCAAACAAGACATGACACGAGAAGTTGAGAGCCTGAGGAGGAAAGGCACATGGGTAACTTTAARGACACTTCCCCTGCTTTGGAATCAGGAGGAGCACACTGTCGTCTCTGCAGAGCCCGCTGTAGGTGATCTCCTCACCAGCATCCTGGAGAATGTAGTTTTGTCTGTATGCTTGGGAAAGAAAGAAAAAAATGACAAGCCCATGCCATTTTGAAGATGGGGAGGGAATTGAATGAGAAATATTGACTTCCTTTTCTAATGTTCTCTGGCAATGTTAACAGCATTCTTTCCCAAGCCCACCTTTTCTCTATACATCAATAAGTATATATGGTTATAATTTTGCAAAAATATCTTGAATAAACTTGCAAGAATCTGTGTAGGTGTTTCCATGCTACACACTCACTGTGGGGAATGTACAGTGGAACCACAGCTCCCTCTGAAGCCTAGATCTGGGCTGCCAGGACTTCCTGAGGGCTCCTCCCAGGGCTCCCCGTCGGGAACGAAGGCCTCTGGTTTTACCTTTACTTATCCTACTTAAGGCATTTCATAAACATTCCTCAAACGGCTCAAAAGCCTAAGAGACACATGATGTGAAACTGTAATGACTGAAAAATCAAAGTTTAAAACAGATTTTCTCCAAAGTTAGAGAGCACAGTGCTTGAGACGAAGAGACTCTGGGCAGTCCTACCTTCAGCCACTGCCCTCCCCACTCTGGAGAGCTGTGCTGCGTCTGGCACATCTCAGTCTGGAAGGAACATGAAATCACCTGCAGCTTCCAAATGTTTTACTGGGAAAATGAGTGACTAGCAAGGCCAGCTAGTCCTGGTTCTTAAGATAACTTATGCTAACAAATCTTGGGAATTAGTGATGCTGGTCAACTTATTTTACCTAGCACCGGGTTTATCTGTTTGCAGTTTTGGAACTTTCCTTAATAAATAATCAACAAATCCTTAAATTGGTGGCCACTGCCCACAGGCAAACCACCAGAGTGTTCTGCCTGTCAGAATGCAAAACAGCCAGGGAAGCATGGGTTGGGAAAACAGGAAGGATTTATATTATAAACATGTTACTGTCYAGCTGCTCATTTTCCTGGCTGGTCTGATGTTACAATTTTACTTGATTCTCTGACATGGTTGAAAAGAAAGACAATTGGCTTAAATTACCCAGCTCCATGGAAGCTGCTACACGAGCACGTAAGAAGCCAGGCTCATGCACCAAGGGAATGCTCCTTGCTGTTCCCCATCAGAACAGATCCTATCAGAGCTGGGAGACTYTCTGGAGGATGACAAGGGTTGCTGCCTCCGGTGTCATTCCTAACTTCAGGCCAAGTGTTGGGACGGGCAGCACTCAGCTGTCCTGCCTAAAGCGCCAGGTGTCTGCCCGGCAGGAAGAGTCGGAATAGGAAACCCGACAGAAAAACAAATGGACTGGGACGCACATGAGCTGATGGCATCACTCCTGTCACACTCATGCAGAGTCCGGGGTAAGGAAAGCAGCCGAGTGCCCACAACACAGTATGTTCTTTTCTTCCGCAAACAGCGTGGAACAGGCAGACCTGTGTGTGGACTGCTGGGGCTGACATTGAAGTGACCTCTGAAAGCAAACACCCCAAACTGTTATGTAAACTGCAATGACTAGACATTCCCGGCCACCGCAGCACAGAGAGGGCTGTGTTGACAGCCTGGCACCTGGAGGTGGTGAGCCCTTCAGAAGAGAAAGGGCAAGCAAGCAAATCCTGCCTGACTTTTCAGTGAGGGTTGGGTGAAATTTTGTAAGTAATGGAGATTTAAAATACTTAAAAATTTTAGAGAAAAGCCTTATAAATTTGATAGGTAGTAACAGGAAGATTTTGCTATKTCAAATCTAAATGGTAGGAACTAAATGTAATCAAAACTGCAGGCAGCAGACTGAAAAGTATATAATGTAATACAGACTAATGTGTCATTAGCTCATGCTCACGACAATGAGATTAGCTTCCAATAGCATCATAATCAGATTTTGGAATTTTGCTGGGTTAGATCTATGTACAAGGGACATATAGCTAGGGATAAGTTTAATGCATTTCGCATCAACATTTTGAATGATTTAAGCAATGCAACTTCTAAAAAATCCTCTCATTTTCTAAACTGACTATAAACCATCAAACTCTTAAATACATAGTCCAAAAAATCCAATTTGAACAGTGGTTACAATGATATTGCTTACATTTTTTTTTTAATTTGACCAATGAAATTCAAAAAACCAAAGATTTGATTTTAAAAAGCCATATGTTTGATGTACTTCACATCAAAAACTTGTTTATTCAAATGAGTTGCTTTTTAAAAATCCTTAAATTCGATGAACTGATTAATTTGAAATTATCAACATCTTTGAAAACCTTCTCTTAAAGTAAAAAATCTAAAATGCTTTTTGAAAAGTGGCTTCACCAAGGCCTGTTACATTTGTAGTGAACCAATAAGCTTTATTTGTAAAATTTAAAAGTCAGTTTACAAATGCCGTGGAGCCTGGGCAGAATCATGAGAGAGCAGCCCTGCATTTCCTTTGTGCTTGAGAGTTAATAGGATTAAAGCTTGAAGAATTGAATAAACCCTGAGCTGGTTAAGATGGACGTATCACATTTCAGGGTTCCCCATTTCATAACGGGCATGCTCCACATTTGACAAAATAAAACACACTAGTGAGCTTATTTGAACAACTCTTTGAGGATACATGGCTTCTGGAAACTTTCAAAGGGAACGCGTGTCCATTTCCCCTTTGTGTGCTCAGCTCGCCTGTTCCGGGCTCCCCCAGCTCACAGGCAACAGTCCCCTGCTATGGTCTCCTTACACGGGGAAGAAGTATGAAGATGTCCGACGTCTGTATGTGAATCAGTAACTTCTAACTTTCACAGTGATGCAATTACACTGGCCCTAATCTTCTGTAAATGTAGCAAATCCAAGCTAAAATGCCCCAGGCCTGTTATGTTCCCCCAGATGATGTAATGAAGCTGGGGGTGCTGCTTTCTGCTATCAAGGTGGTTATTATCAAGGATAATTGTGGCTGGAAATGTTTGGCATTCCTGTCTAGCAGTAGTCCCGATTGTTTAGAATAGATTTTTGCATAGGAGTTCCAACATCTGTCCATCTCAGGTCAGATTTCTGTGAGAACCTGGGCATCTAGTCTCTAATGGGACGTGCAGCTGTCCCAGATGAAACAGGAATGGTCTCTTGCATTACGGTGACAACAAAGGGTCAAGTTTAAAGTTAAGGAATACAAGAACAGTATGCAAATGGCATTCCCACAGCACAAAATGCCAATAATGTTACCAGTTAAAGGTAGACTTGGAGGCTGACAAAGCACCTCCTAGCAAAATGAGCATTAATTAGCCCTTTGTAACACCAATGCACCTATGGATTCCTTTCATTTGTAATCCCTCATATCATAGCAATCCAGCTTGCCTGAAGTGAAAAATATTTATCAAATGAAAGCTGTATGTAAAACTGCAAAGAAATATAATAGCAAATTTTGGAAAGGAAGTTAAAAAAAAAAAGAACTAAAAAACACTGTGATGATCTTAACAAAGACACACAAAACCTGTTACTAGGAACAGTTGTTTGGTCAAATTTCCTGTTTGTCYCTAAGCACTGGTTTGTTTAAAACATGTTGTTAGTGCACAGTTTACTGCTGTTGATTAACGTTTCTACATGTAAAATCCAGAACAGTTCTCCAGGACTTCTTATTTAAAGATATTCCAAACAATGTGGATTTTCCCTTGCTTCTTCAGWCTGTGGTCTTCAGCATACTTAAATGATGATAAGCCATGAACCTAAAGAGCTGAAAATTAGTATGAGACACTGGCAAATTGCTAAAGTATGGGTTAATGAAGAGGTCATAAAAAGAAGGTAGCATGAAACCTCTTTTTAATCCTAAGTAGTTTTACTACAAGATTCCAGGAATCAACTGTGGACTGCTACAAAATAGGCCAAGCCTGAGCCACACACGTGTTGGTGGTGGCTCTTTGTTTTATTCACTTATGCAGGGGGAAGAAAACTCCTCTGCAAAGACCTGACTTCAACAGCAACCTATTACACAATTAGAATAACTGAATCCCACCATTGTGTGTGAAACGTAGGGAAATAAAAATTCCTCCCTTGGGAAAGAAGTATAAAACATTCACATTTTTCTAAGTATTTTATAAATTATGCTGCTTTATTAAGCACATACCGTTAGAAATCTCTTCTATTACTGACAACACTTTTCTTAATGGCCTTTACGTGTTTAAATAAATGGCTCCTGAAAATGTGCGTTTATATAATATAAATAAAACCGTAATATAAACATGCCCAGATATAAACTCTTTAGAAATGTCAGCTTAAAACTTTCCAGTCTAAATAAATCGTCTTATGAATGGTCCAGCAAAGCAATTTTTAACGCATTTTTCCGCCTAAAAAGCTCAGAGATTTACAGGCACCGTCCAAAAAGAGAAACCAAAACAGCTTCGATGAAAGCTGAATACCCCATTCATGCAATAAGCAATGCTAAGTGCTACCCAATAGAGGGACAGTTTTTGAGACCAACTAAGCCCATGTGACTGACTCTGTAGTCCTTACTAATATCCCCTCACTGTCTTGTTATTTGTTTACTCTCCTATATATTGTCTGTCTCACCTCCTTGCACTGTAATCTTCCTGAGAGTAAAAACCACTGTGTTGGGTCCTCTGGTCTAATACTTAGCATAGCACCAAGCACATAGTAGACACAAAAAAAGCTACCCATTTAGGAATTTGTTAATAAGACTCCATTATTCCAAACTGGCCCATGTGTCTGCAAGTCTAGCTGCTGTCCCCCTTCTTCCTCAGTACTCCCACATTTCCACTTAACACATGATTTGCACAGGAATACAGACATTTCCCAGCCTCCCTTGCAACTAAGTGCCGGCTAGGTTTGAACTAATAAGAGGCAAGGGAAAGTACTTTGCAGCACCTTGTGGGAAAGTCCCTTGAAAGACAGCTAGTGTGGCCCTTCGCCCCTCTTCCTGCCTTCCTCTTTCCAGCTGCCTGAGATGTGCATGTAATTGCTGGAGTTTGAACAGTCATTGTGGACTGAGTTAGTTGGCCTTGAGAAGGGAAATCATTAGCTTGAACGGAGAGCGGCAAGAGAGAAAGGCCTGGGTTCCTTCTATTGCAGACTTCACTCC